AAGACGATCAGGATGTTTTGTTAGACCATCAAGAAGTCTAATTAGTTGAGACTTCTGCACAGTTACTCGAGGTACCTGCTGCTGCTGCTGCTGCTGCTGCTGCTGCTGCTGCAGTTCTGCATTCACCCCTGCCTCCAATGCATCGAATGTTAGCCACTCTGCGCGTATGCCCACGCAGCGCAACACCAATCCTTAGCAGCAGCAGCAGCAGCAGCAGCAGAACCAACAGCAGCAGCAGCAGCAGCAGAGCAGCAGCAGCTGGATAGGCAAGCCTCTCTGCTTACTGCATTGTACATCCAGTCTTGAATTGTATTGCTGCTCGTCTGCTGCTCGCTGCTGCTGCTGCTGCGGCCGCAGCCGCACTGCATGCAGCAATGCTGCTGTTGTTGCTTGGACAAGACGCGTGTCTCCTACACGAGCTACTACAAATTGCTTCACTGCCTGCAGCAGCAGCAGCAGCAGCAGCAACAGCAACAGCAACAGCAACAGCAGCAGCAGCAGCAGATTAACACCTAATCGCTGCTGTGCTGATTAACAGCAGGCAGCAAACTGCAGCAACAGCCACCATAGGAAGAAGCAGCAGCAGCAGCAACAGCAGCAGCAGCACCAGTAGCAATAGCACCAGTCACCGAGACACCAGCAGCAGCGGCAGCAGCAGCAGCAGCAGCAAGAGTGTTACCTTTTTGCATAATAATAAGGAAATATAAGGGATATTAACCTGGAAGGGAACGCGTTGCTGCTGCAGCCGAGCAACAAGACTATCCATTAGCTGCTGCTGCTTCTGTGCATGCCTCGCGCTGCTGCTGCTGCTGCTGCTACCACCACCAGCGGGGGTCGTCTTCCTTGCCTTTGCTGCAGGATCCCCATCATCTATAACACAACAGACACGGGAACAGCAGCAGCAGCAGCAGCAGCAGCATTAGCAGCAACAGCAGCAGCAGCAACAGCAGCGCCACAAACCTTAAATTTTCCGACCCTAGCAGGCCTGACAGAGTAGCAACAAAAGTAGCAGCAGCAGCATCCGCAGCAACACAAGCAGCAGCAGCAGCAGCAGCAGCAGCAGCAAGTATGGATACCGAGCATCATAAGAAGGAATCCAGGTAGAGCTCCTCCTTCTCCTTCTTCATCATCTGAATCTTCTGCTGTATATGCCTGAGGTGTACGTACACCCCAACACCACACACAGTACACTCAGCAGCAGCAGCAGCAGTAGCAACATCAGCAGCAACATACGCAGCAGCAGCAGCAGCAGCAGCAGCAGGGCGTACGGGTATATCGGCTGCCTTTGACGGCAATCGTTTGAGTGCTGCTTTGGGCTCGGCTTTGCGTTTGCCCCGAGCAGCAGCAGCAGCAGCATGCTGCTGCTGCTGCTGCTGCTCCTGCTGCTGCAGTGCTGATGCCATAGGAACCTCGCATTGTATTAAGAAAGCATTAGATACTAACTGCAGGAAGCAGCGCTGCAGCTCCTGCTGCCGCTGCCTACTGTGCTGCTGCTGCTGCTGTGCAGCAACAGCAGCAACATCTCCATCTGGATTGGCATCTGCAGCAGCAACAGCAGCAATAGCAGCAGCAGCAACACGCATGCAGCCACAGGCAAACAAATACAGCAAAGCACAGGAGCAGAATAATCAGCAGCAGCAGCATCAGAACCATCACCAGCAGCAGCAACAGCAACAGCAGCAGCAGCAGCAGCAGGAGGAATTATTGACTAACAAGGATCAGCAAGAGCTAATGCAACAGCATCCTGCATGCAGACACGTCCTGCCTTGAATACCTGCAGCAGCAGCAACCTTGCGTTGCTGCCTAGCTGCTCCTGTGTCACTGCAGCAAATGCAGGGAAGCGCAGCAAAGCTAATGCTGCATGCACATTCAGACTATAACGGACACCTCCATGGGGCAGCAGTACAGGAGGAGCAGCAGCAGCACTGCTGCTGCTGCTGCTGTTGCTGCCGTTGGTGCTGTTGCTGTCGTTGGTGCTGCTGTTGTTGTTGTGGGCGGGGTTCTGCTGGTGTGCTGCTCCTGCGTCTGCATGCGCAGGTGCTGAAGCAGCTGCTGCAGCTGCTGCTGCTGCTGCTGCTGCTGCAGCAGCAGCAGCAGCAGCACCACTTCCTCCTGGATTAACAGGTGTACATATAAGAAGATTATGCTGCAGCAAGACAAGAAGGGCGTTCCTTAATTTACAATATTCTTCGTCCCTTCCTTGCTGCAGATGTGCTGCTGCTGCTGCTGATTTAGGAGCAGCAGCAGCAACAATATATCCTCTTGGTCCTCCACCTAGTCCTATGCTGCTGCCACTGCTGCTGCTGCTGCTGCTGCTAGACAGCAGCAAATCACGCAACTCTAAGAAGGTTAAGCTGCGGCACAGCAGCAGCTGACGACCAACAGCAGCAACATAAGGACCGAAGGCGTCCTGCAGCAACGCGCAGGCAAGTCTTACTTGGCTAGATTGCATGCTGCTGCTGCTGCTGCTGCTGCTGCTGTTGCTGCTGCTGCTGCTGATGGTGCTGGTGGTGCTGGTGGTGCTGCTGTTGCTGCAGATAGCTTGGTACTCTCAGTGGTGCAGCTTCTGTTGGCAAGCAGCAGCAGGAGCTGCTGCTGCTGCCGCTGCAGTTGCTACTGCAGCACTTAATGCTAAGGGAGTCGGTGCTGCTGCTGCTGCTGCGAAGGAAGCAACTGCTGCACAAACTATAAAACAGCAGCAGTCTGCTGCTGCAACTTCCTGCTCTACCTGCTGCTGCTGCTGCAGTTGCGTCTATTGTTGTTGCTGCTGTTGCAGAGCAGCAGCTGCTGCTGCTCAAGAGCAGCAGCAGCAGCAACAGCAGTACCGTTGCCGCGACTTCTTCTGTGGCTGCAGCTCACCCCACCTAGGAACTCATGCTGCCGCTCTCATACCTCCCGCTGCTGCTGTTGCTGCTGTTGCTGCTGCTGTTATTGTTGTTGCTGCTGCTCTGTGATCTGTGGAGCAGCAGCAACTCAGGCGTTTCCTGTTATAGGGGATCTTCTTCTGCTGCTGTCTTTGGTGTTGCTGCTGCTTATTTGCCTTATCTTCTGCTATTAGATTCGGTGCAATGCTTCCTGCTGCTTCTGCTGCTGCGTCTTCTTCCGCTGCTGCTGCTGCTGCTGCTGTTGCTGCTGCTGCGGCGGCCCCAACAGAGAGGGAAAACCGAGACTTTCAGCACTTGCTTCTTGCTGCAAGAAGATGCATGCGAATTGCTGCTGCAGCAGCAGATTGATTTCACTTTCTTTTATTCGCAGCAGCAGCAGCAGCACGAGCCTGGGGCCCTGTGGGGCCCCCAGGGTACCTACCGGTGGGGCCCCCTGGGCATGGCTGTAGCAACTGCAGCAACTGCAGCAACTGCAGCAAAAACTATTCCTGCTGCACCAAAAGCAGAGAAAAGCAATGTTTTTTTGTGTATGAGGCAGGGAGATAGTGTCGTCCTCCCCGTGTACAGCAGCAACTGCAGCAGCAGCAGCAGCAACAACAACAACAATAACAGGAGCGGCAGCTGACAGCAGCAACTGTGCGATCAGCTGCAGCAGCAGAGCCTGTAGCAGCGGGAACAAAATCAGCAATGTTACTTAGATTAAGAGCAGCAAGAACAAGCGGGCAGCAATAACAGCAGCAGCAGCAGCAGTAGCAGCAGTGTGTACAGTAGGTCTGCTGCAGCAGCCACAGCAGCAACCGCAACAGTAGCTGCAGCACCAGCACGTCCAGAAGCAGCAGCAGCAGCATCAGTGATTAACAAGCACAGCAGCAGCAGCAACAACCACACTTGCAGCAGAATCTATCCTAAGCTGCAGTACGCTGCGCCAAGAGGCGTAGGAGCAGCAGCTGCAGCAGCTGCAGCAGCAGCAGCAGCAGGAGGAGGAAGCAAGCAGCAAAAGCTGCTGTTGCAGCAGCAACACAACAATGGGGGCCGATTTTATAATTGGCTGTGTGGGCAAACCCTCGGCAGGTAAGAGCAGCAGAGACAAATTAGGGTTTAGGGTTTAGGGTTTAGGGTTTGGGGTGTACATGCATCTTCAATCCTTATCCATACCACTATTAATCCATCTGTCTATATACATCTACAGACACCTTATTTTAGGGTTTAGGGTTTATACATTTATTGTTTAAACATTTAGGGTTTAGGGTTTTAAGGGTTTAGGGTTTTAAGGGTTTAGGGTTTAGGGTTTAGGGTTTAGGGTTATATATACAGGAAAGAGTACATTTTTTAATGCTGCAACAGAGGGCTCATCAGCAAAAGTTGGCAATTATCCATTTACAACAATAAACCCTAATGAAGGAATTGCTTATTATGTTACGGATTGTCCATGCAAAAAGTATGCTCCTGCTGCTGCTCCTGCTGCTGCTGCTGCTGCTGCTGCTGTTGCTGCTGCTGCTGCTGCTACTGCACTGACGTTATATAACTAATATAGATAATTATTCGTTCGTTTTTTCTGATATTTCTTTCCCTCTCCCTCCCGTGTTGCTCCCTCCCCCACGTGTTGCTGCTGCTGCTGTTCCTCCTCCTGCTACTGCTGTTGCATATTTGCTGCATTTGCTGCTGTTGCTGCTGCTGCTGCTGCTGCTGCTGCTGCTGGTGCTGCTGGTGCAGGTATGGCATATCAAATTGTACACCTCGTTACGGACGTTGTGAATCTGGCCATCGTTATATACCTATTCGTTTATTAGATGTAGCAGGATTAATACCAGGAGCTAATGAAGGAAGAGGACTTGGATGTAAATTCTTGGATGATTTACGTATAGCACATGTACTTATACATGTTATAGATATTTCTGGAAATACTAACGAAAAGGTATTTTTTTACACGTTTTTTTTTTTTTCCTTTTTTTTTGTACTTTTTACCCTTTTTCTTCCCTTTTTTATTATCTTTTTCTTATTTTCTTTAATTTAATTTATTGTATTTTATTTTATCTTTTATTTGCACTAATTTATTCTTCTTTTTATCTAACCATTCTTTCTATTTATATATATATATATATATATTATATATAT